CAGACCTTGCAGTCCTTGGCTGTGCTGAAGGCCAGCGAGACAAAAACGTTTCAAGACTCCACTTGGAGCAGGAGAAAGTTTTTCCGTTGGGTTTTTATAACTCCCGGAAAGCGGGGTTTTATTTTTGTTGTCTAAGACAAAAAAATCCTCTTAGGAGCCGACTACCCGCAGCGGTGCCGGGCGGGCGGCCGTGCATGCGCCGTGCTGGGGGTCTGGGCTCGGCTTTGCTTTCCCTCCCTCGCTGCGGCCCACGGGGTCCGTGGATGCTGATGCTGGCTTCCACAAAGGAAAAAAGGAGGTTTTGGTGTCCCTGATGTGCCACCGGTCACATTCGTGTGCCGGTGCTGGGCGCTGGTGCTGCAGCACCCATGACGGCTCCATGCCACCCATGGGCTGTCGTAGGATGCTCCCGTCTGGGGACACGGCTGCGGGGAAAGCCCTTTTCCTGGGGAAGGGGCCTATTTCCCATGACCCACAGATGGGTGAACTGGGGGGCCCTGGGGGGCTGATCTGAATTTCTGGGGAGTGTAGGCTGAGGCCGTCGAGCTCTCCCCAGTCTCCCCTTCTTTGCATGGTGCAGGCTGCCTTTGAAGGGGTTTTGCTGGCAGGGGAACTGGTTTCCATGGTAAAAACCTTAACAGCATCTGCCAAAAATCCGTCTCCCTGTTGGCTCGTCCATCTGGAGGGCGCAGGGAGCCTTTGGCGGGGTGAGGACGTGGCTGCGGGCTGCTTTGGGTGTTCCTTCAGTACTGTTGGCAGCTCAGGGGGGTCAGTCTGCCTGGTCATTTATGCCCCAGGTGCAGGTTTGTGTCAGGATGTGGGGGGATCCCAGTGTCACCGAGCCTGGTGGGGCACAGGCAGGCTGGCCAGGGGATGGGGAGACATGGCATGGCTGCTCCTGGAGGGAGGGCTGCGGGCGCCGTGCATAGGGAGCGGGTGGCCACGCTGTAATCGGATGAGCCAGTGCTGCTCCAGATGGACCTGTCACCTCTTGTCAGTGCTGACACCCCTCCGGGTCCCTCCACGTCCCCTCGGGCCAGCAGGGCCACCGCCTGTCCCACTCGGCTGCGGCTGCTGGGAGCAAGGGAGCCGGGAGGTGACACTGTGTTTGCAAAGCCCGTCAGACAAACAGGGTCCCTTCCACGCTGCGTCCCTCCCTGCAAACTCCATGTTCTGTTAACTTTAACGGGAAAAACCTGGCAGGCGTGTCTGTCTGTCTGTCCGTAGTGCCTGAGCACCCAGGTGGCTTGCAGCCGCAAACCCGAAGCACCCAGCTGGGTGCCTTGCCTTGGTGTCCCTGTGCTGCAGCGTGACAGCCATCCTTCGCTGGGCGTTCGGCGCAGGAGAAGCATCTTGCTGGCAGCGGTGGGCTGGACTGGGCTGGACTGGGCTGGCAGGAGTCCTGCCTGCTGGTCTGCGTCCCCAGGTGTGCGGCGCAGGGCTTTGCTGTGTGCCGGCACGGCACGTGGGTGGGTCTGGGTGCTCGTGGGCAGAGCATCTTGGTGTGTAGGATCCCGGTGTCCACTGGGAGAGGTTTTAGGGCTCAACTCTGCACTCGTCTGCTCTTCTCTCCTTAAACGTTACTCCTTTCTCCTTCCCCTCGCAGCCGACAACCCTCCCGCAGGGCACCATCAACATGAACCAGTGCACGGATGTGGTGGACGGGGAGAGCCGGACAGGGCAGAAATTCTCCTTGTGCATCCTGACGCCGGAGAAAGAGCACTTCATCCGGGCCGAGAACAAGGAGATCATCAGCGGGTGAGTGCAGGTCCGGGGCTGAGCCGCCGCAAGGCTCTTCCCTAGGCTGGGGGGGAGAGGGGGGGGGGGGGGGTGGGGGGCGGGGCCTGAGCCGCCGCAAGGCTCTTCCCTCGGCTGGGAGGAAGAGGAGGGCGGGTAGGACCTTGCTGAAGGCCGGGTACCCAGGCTGATCGCCGAGTGACGGTCACAGCCTGCTGCAGGGATGGTCCTGGGAGCCAGGGGTAGCTGCTGCCCCGCAGTCAGCTCTGGTCTCCTCCGCCTTTTTGGCAAGGACGAGGTTTCTTTCCCCTTCCCCGCTCCCCTGCTGTCGCCTGGTGCTCTGCAGCAGAGCGGGGGCCTGAGCACCCCCCGAGCCACCAGATTTGTGGTGCGAGCGTGAGCTGTGTGGCAGCCCATGGTTGAAGTCCTTCCTCCATGCCCAGCACGCGTGCTCGGCCGTGCCGGGCTGGAGCCTGAGGCCTCCCAACATGCCGGACACCTTTCAGAGCCGGTGCTCAAGGAACCTCAGCCTCTGCTGGGAGCCTTGGCCAGGCACCAGAGCAGAGATGGTCCCGAGTCTCGCCCTACATAAGAAGGCCACCATTTTCAGGTCAATTTTGTTGTGTGCCGTTGGGCGATATCCCGCTCCCTGCTGCAGAACGACACTGCCAGCGGTGTTTATCGCCGGGAGCGAGCTGAGCTACACCGGAGCGTTTGTGGGTGCTCCGAGGGTGCGTCTGATGCTGAGATGGACTGGCCGTGGCAGCTTGAGCCCCAGCAGAAAGCAGCTGTTTGCTGGGCAGGGGAAGAAGCTTGCTGAACACCAGGATGGGGCTGGAGCTGATGGGTGCTGGGGTGACGCCACGGTGCTTTTAGCACAGCACCCGGTCAGGCACTCAGCCAGTTGGCACGGGTCCTGTCCCCCTGCCAGCCAC